AATAATTTGTCTACCACTGTCACTTCATCGATCATCTTGGCAAAAGCTGGATCAAGGAATCACGTAAAAAATAAAATTAAAAAAATGGCATGATTCGTGTCTTTTCTTTTTTTTTTACCTGACACCTGATCAATGGCAATGACCTTGACATCTCCTTCTGTATCTTTGATCAAGCTAACATAGAGATCAACCAACTCGGCGCGCGTCACCAAATCGCCAAAGGCTTGACAGAGCTAATATAAAATAACCAGAGTGGGTCAGCAGCAACCAAACATATGGACGTTTTTTTTTTTTACATCGGCAAAATGATTGGCCACCATGTAGCGCACGCGCCACGACTTGTCTTGACCGAGAGCTTTGAGCGTTGGCAACAAGTGTTGTTTGCTTTCTTCAGGGGTAAACAGGCTCGTCATCTTCAGTAAATCCTCCACTGTCAATAACCGCACAGTATCTTGATCATCCGTGGCCAGCTTCAAAAAGTAGGGCAGTAATTGTGTCAAAACAGCCTTTTTATCCATCTTCACAACAAAATCCTAAAAATCATGAAACGCAAAAGGTCATGAGATGATTTCAATGTCTTTTTGGATCCACTTACCCCCAAGACTCGGGCAGCGGCACGTCGCACCATGGGCGTATCGTCTTGTGCTAATTGTATATAAAGGCTAAAAGAAAAAAAAAACCCGTGAGCAAGCCAACCATTGATTACTACACCCCCCCCCTTTTTTTTTTTTTTACCTTTGCATTTCCAATTTTTGAGCATCATTGCACAAGCTATAGCCAGCAGCAAACAGGCCAGCAGCCGAGGTTCGGTTGGTAAACCATTCACCATTGGTCAGTCGCTTGACTAGAGGCAAGTAGTAATGTTCGATTTGTGAACTGTTGAAGGAAGGGACGATAATACAGATGGATTCGACAGCCTATGAGTGAGAGATATGAGCACCGCCATGGAAAATAGAGAATGTCTATCTACCTTGTTGCGAACAAGCACTTCTTCCACAGAAGACAGGTTCTCCAATGGCCCAAGCAAGGTGTGGACATACTCAGGACCCCCTACATAATCTGTAAAACCGGCCAGCTCTTCAGCAACTGCCAATAGCACTTCGTCTTCATCGTCAATGGAATCTATGTCAGGTTGGACGAACATAAAAGTCAATGACCACCCCTTTCCCTCCATTTTCCCGTTGTCTATGTGCTTGCATACCATTCAAAAAGGGGATCAGTTCATTTCTTGTTCGTTGAGGACCAAGGGCCATGGCAATAGTGCCTAAATTGCGGATAGCGTTCAAGCGTAGCTGGACATCATCGTTTTTCAATTCATCGACAAGGACGGCAATAGGGTACAGCTCCTGTTCGTCCATGTTGACATCCGTGCTGTTTTCCGTCATGTTCACTGGCTGCTGGCTGTGCTCATCAAGATGGTCGCCTGTGCTGACATCCATGTTGCCAGATGAATATCCTGGTGTTTGCTCGTTTGCGTTCATGGCTGTGTGTTTACTTGCTGCACGTGTTGCTGCTTTGTATAATAAATGAAATGGGTGATAGCTGAATCGATATAAGGAAGCGACGCCGTGTTTGAATTGGATACAACCTGACCAAAATCAAGACAAGATGAAAAAACAAGAAAAAAAAAAAAAAAGGAAAAAAAAAAAAAAGGGAACAGAAAATGGACCGCCATAGCCAAAAGTCAAAATATATTATTATATGATATATCGAAGACTCTTTTGAAACGCGCTCACCACATAGCCCGAGAAGCCTGGTTCTTTTCAGCATGGTCACCACTCATCCTATTGCTTCGTGTGCAAAGTTTGAGACAAATGGGTGGAGATCAGATTTTTGACAGAAGCCTAATGTTTTCCACCAGATCCAAAGGTGGTCCCCTTGACTTTGAAAAAAAAAAAAAAGGCTCTACCTCATTTTCACGCAAATGAATCAATGCAAGTTTTTACACAGGTGCAGGTTCCTATCAAAGGCATGTACACACGTAAAATCAAGGCGACCAGTCAAGGCTCCAGCCAACTGTCATCCATCAGAATTTTCGACCTCTAAATCTCTCAGCCAAATTTTTCAGGAAAATGGAAAAAAAATCCATCGAGGCCATGTTTTCAATTCCCGACTCCACCTCGATAGACTGAACTGCAGGTTACTTGACACCTGATGAATGACAAAGACTTTTGAATATACACATATCTTTTAAACATATAGATCATGGCCGGTGGAACATATCGAAAAAAGGCATGCAAATACTACCTGTCAGACTGAGGCACAAAAAAAACTGACACGCCACAATTTCAGTTCTACCAGCAGCCATTGGCCATTGTCCTTCAGGCCCTTTCTTCCCATGTTTCTTCGCAAGCTGCAAAGTAATTGGCACAAGCAATTGTCGTCATTTGCTGGCTGACTAAATCGGTGCCTAGACACTGAGCTACTTCCAGCGGCATCAGCGCTGGTAAAAAAAAAAAAAAAAAAAAAAAGGTCAGGCAGGTGCGTAGTCTCCCGGTTATTTCCAACTGGCCTATACTGTGACTCTGTGGGATGCAAAGAATGCAGTAGCATTTCGAACTCACACAATGGGTTCTATCACCATGGTAAAAAGTTGGTAAACCAAGTTCGTCGTATGTCAAGGCTTCACCATGGTGACACCATAGCAAAGTCTTGGTAATCTCTGGAGTGAAACCCTGGTTATCTCGTTGAGCTATGGATAGCTTTCATTGATTTCGTTTATTTTCCCTCCCTTGTTTTTCTTTTTCTTTTTTGCATGATACTGACATGGTTCCTCTTTTTTTTATACCTACGTTTTCTTCATTCGCGCACGCGTCGCATATTTTTCTTCCTCTCTCGATTCTACCTTCATTATTGACTCCATTCAAGAATGACATCACCTAAACGATCAAGCCATTCAAGCGCCCAAGAAATGAGCGATGCTGTGCATCGGTCAGCGCTGCAAAGATCTGATCAGAGCATAAGGTCCTTTGGCTGGCAGACAGGTTCTCTATGACCACAAATATGCTGCTTATTAGAAAGGAGGGAAATAGATTAGTGCGTTAAGCAGAAGATATCACAAGCACGCCACAGGGAAGGCTGATACTGTATTATTCTCATTCTTGATATCTTAAAGATCACGTGGCCATGCTTTCTGCTTCTAGAAAAAAAAGGCTAAAAACGACAGCAAGTTTAATCACACCGTTCTCATTGTAGGCATCCATGACTTGTGCCGGTGCAAGATCTTCCTTTTGAAAGCTGTTGGGCTGTATTTATCTGCCCTCACTCCAATCTTGCTTGGCCAGTCAGAGAAAAAAAAAAAAAAAGAAAGAGCGAGAGAGAGACATGAGCTCCACGTTACTTTTTTTGAGTTGCTGCCATGTAATTCATACCTTGGTTGACAGTATCGTTTCTAATTGGTCATTAGGGGCTACTGCTGTTGTCAAACAATCCGCTGATGAGAGCATTGACGCTTTAAAGAAAGTAAAGTAAAAAAAAGGAAAAGAAGTCGCGTCTTTTTTTTTTTTTTTTTTTTTTTTTTTTTTTTTTTTTTTTTTTTTTTTTTCAGATTTCTTTAATTGAAACTCTCAATAGCAAACGGCAATGTCATGGAAGGGGTTGTTCGTATCTATGTCCGACAATGGAGCGCTGCCACGGATTGGCCATGGCTGATGGTCTTCTTCTTTGATTTTGATCAATCGAATGGGCTCCATCGTCGCAGAATCGATTAATCTGAGAAGGTTATTGAACTAGAAACCCCCTCCCCTCTTTTCCCAGGACATCGTCATCCTCTGCTCCTGCTTGGAGGCTGTTCTCAACTCCGGTGACAAAAGCCTCCAGGGCTCCTGGGAGTGAGACGTACGATCTTTTCTAAAGGAATCGGCTCTTCTTGGCTTTCTATTACATTTCAAAATGTGAGGAGTAACGGTTTTTTTTTTTTTTTTGGCTTCTTGTAAGATTTTGTTCTACTGCCATGGCTTTCTTGCAGTTCTTGTGAGAGTCAATCAATGTCACGGACCATCCGGTTCTTCTTCGATTCAGCTGCCTTCCTTGCCTCTTGTATTAATAAGAGGAGGCAGCGAAGGACAGTTCCCGCCGCTGCTGTTGCCTGGAAGAAGGTTGCATTTTGTTTAGCAAAGCTTATTTTTAAATGGTGAGAAGCTTTAATTCACACTTGCTGTAGAAATACTTATGGTAAACAAGTGCAGCGATTCAATCAGAAAATTGGATGAAGAAGAAGGAAACCAATAAAAATAAAAATGTTTCCCAAAAAAAGGCTGCTCTGATTTTTTTTTTCACTTTGATATATTGGACAGCACCTGCTCTTTTGCCCAGTCTCGATGCTCAGTCAAGTGATTTTTGTATACATCTAGTCAATGAATCGAGGCAAGCAGGCTTCTTCAAAAATTTTCTGAAGTGAGAAAAGTCTGAAAGAGAATAGCCAAATGAGCATGCACAGACAAATGGGTATGCTCTTTCCCTTTTTAATCGCCGCCATGGAGCAGTTTGTCCAAAAATCCACCGGCAGACCAAAAAAGGTAGCGGGGTTTAGTACCAGGCTTCACTGCACCGTGTTTCCAAAAAAAAAAAAATGGATGCCATCTTCAAGTAACCGTCACTGAGGTTAAAGAATACATAACAAATTCAAAAAGGAGCTCTTGGGTAATGTAATTACAGGTTTCAAGATTGCGGATGCAATGTCACCTTTCTGATTTGATGTGACAGTCAATCCAGTAAAAACCGACACTAAACTCCTCTACACTTGCACAAAGGCAAGGATCTGGAAAAAAAAAAAAAGGAGCCGCTAATCACAAAATGGGAAACCTTTCCAAGTATGCCATTTCCTCTTGGGCCAAAATTTTATCGGGTCACGTGATCGTTGGGATTGTACTCATGCGTTTCAAATAAAAATAAAAAGGATGCAGCAAACCAACCAGAATCCGTCGGCTATTCGGCCGCCGTCTCGGCCCGAATTACCGATATTTTCAACACATATGTTCCCTTGGTCTTACATTCAACAAGCCCTGCTAGCTCAATCGGTAGAGCGTGAGACTCTTAATCTCAAGGCTGTGGGTTCGACCCCCACGTAGGGCTTTCTTTTTGCTCTTTTTGCTTCCTTCTTTCACGGCTTAATCCAATCGTGATCTTTTTTTTTTGCCCATCGGGTTTAGGGTATAGGGTATAGGGTATAGGGTACAGGGTATGAGGTATAGGGTACAGGGTATGAGGTATAGGGTACAGGGTATGAGGTATACTGCTGAGGAACCTCGCCAAAAAAAAAAAAATCACTGAAGTGACCTTAAAGTGAGTGGGTGGATAGCCAAGGATGATCCATGGTTATGGCTAAAAATATAAACACCAATAATAATATAAACAGAACTGAAGTCACTTTTTATTCTTTTGGCTTAAAAAAAAAAAAATTAGAATCGTCAGATGTGCAAGATTGAATGCTTCAGAATTGACCATCAGTCAAGTTGGCGGCAAGCGACACAGCCGGTATTAAGAAATAAACGGAAGGCAGGTGTCATGGTAGGTCGGTTTTTTTAAAAAAAATTCCCACGGTCACTTCGAAATTGACAGCCCGCTTTGAAGTTCAACAAGCCCTGCTAGCTCAATCGGTAGAGCGTGAGACTCTTAATCTCAAGGCTGTGGGTTCGACCCCCACGTAGGGCTTTCTTTTTTGATCTTTTTGCCTTCGCTTTTCCATTTTTTCACGCTCCTTCCTTTTTAAGTATCTGTTTCGTCCAAATCATCCCTCCTCCGTCCTCCTTTTGTGTATCGCTAACATCATCCTCAATCACCATGCAAGCTATTTTTTTTTTGCATTTCACTCAATTCTTCTCTTTCACTTATTGTTTTTCTTTTATTTTACAGTACTGTTTGCATCAGCACCATGCAACATATACAATATCTATTCAGCATGATTTTTTTTTTCGAACAGATCAATCCCCAGTTCAACCTCTTCCGATCCCAGTCAAATCAAGAGTACAGTTAGAGTAGCGTCAATGACCAATGAATATGGTTATCAGATACCTTTCTGAAGAATACTTGAAATGTCAACGTTACATCACTGGCTTGGGCATAAAGAACCAGCTTGTCAAAAAAATAAAAAAAAAGAGAGCGAACTCAAATCTTACTCGTATGAAAGACTTTGCAAGCCGGGCTTTTTTGATTGATATGCTGCTGCTGCTAGCATGTGCCACATACTAACACAACTTTATTAAAAAGTCCATGTCACGTGACTTTTATTAAAAATTTCCCACGGTCACTTCGCCATTGACAGCCCGCTTTGAAGTTCAACAAGCCCTGCTAGCTCAATCGGTAGAGCGTGAGACTCTTAATCTCAAGGCTGTGGGTTCGACCCCCACGTAGGGCTTTCTTTTTGCCGCCGTCACCCTCGTTGGTCGATGGCTTGCTGCCTTTTTTTTTTGGACCTTCTCTCTCTACATCTTTCTTACTGTTTTTTTTTGCATTACAGTTCATCACCTGTCTTTTTTTTTCCCAAGAGTATTACAGTATTAATCTACTTTTATTTTTTTACCCCCTGTTAAATACAAAAATAAAATAAAAAAAGAACACTCCTAAATCTCAGCTGGTTCTTCTGTCATTCCAATATCTCAGAAATTGGCGCTCGGCCGCGCTCCCAGCTTACACATGAGAAATAAATACTCGGTCTTACTCATCTTTAACAAAGCTCAAGAAGACTTTTTTTCACACCACCCTCTTTTTCTTTTTCCCATTAATGAACTTCAAGAGAGAGTGCGAGAACTGGAACTTACATCAGAACACTGCAATATACCGTGTCTGACCCATGCTCTATACCTTTTCTGAACTTGCCACCCGTCAAAATATCAACTAACCTCTTTAAAAAAAAAAAAAAAAATAAAAAATAAACATCAATGTGAAATTACAGCATGCATGGTTGATGTAACTCATGACATGACGCTGAAAAAAAAAAAATTGAATGGTTCGATGAAGGTCGATCATGTCGAATCACTTTGTTTCAAATCCGAATTTCAGAAAAAAAAAAAATTGGGAGAGAGAGAAATGTTTGAAAAAAAATAGAAGCAGCAACGAACGAGAGTGATGGCGACAAAAGAAGCTAAAATGAAACACAACCCCGTATCCTATACCCAATGGCAAAATAAAAGAAGAAAATCACGAAAGATTAAAGTCATGAAATAAGGAGGCAAAAAGAGCAAAAAAGAAAGCCCTACGTGGGGGTCGAACCCACAGCCTTGAGATTAAGAGTCTCACGCTCTACCGATTGAGCTAGCAGGGCTTGTTGAACTTCAAAGCGGGCTGTCAATTTCGAAGTGACCGTGGGAATTTTTTTTTAAAAAAACCGACCTACCATGACACCTGCCTTCCGTTTATTTCTTAATACCGGCTGTGTCGCTTGCCGCCAACTTGACTGATGGTCAATTCTGAAGCATTCAATCTTGCACATCTGACGATTCTAATTTTTTTTTTTTTAAGCCAAAAGAATAAAAAGTGACTTCAGTTCTGTTTATATTATTATTGGTGTTTATATTTTTAGCCATAACCATGGATCATCCTTGGCTATCCACCCACTCACTTTAAGGTCACTTCAGTGATTTTTTTTTTTTTTTGGCGAGGTTCCTCAGCAGTATACCTCATACCCTGTACCCTATACCTCATACCCTGTACCCTATACCCTATACCCTGTACCCTAAACCCGATGGGCAAAAAAAAAGATCACGATTGGATTAAGCCGTGAAAGAAGGAAGCAAAAAGAGCAAAAAGAAAGCCCTACGTGGGGGTCGAACCCACAGCCTTGAGATTAAGAGTCTCACGCTCTACCGATTGAGCTAGCAGGGCTTGTTGAATTGATAGACCGTAGAAAGGGCCTTGTTGTGAAATCGGCAGTTCGGCGCCCGATTCGGCCCGAATTGCCGAATAATTGTGATTGGCCATTTTCCTTTTCCCTTTTTTGTTTTTTTCTCTCTCCGCTTCCAATTCTTATTTTATTTTTTGACATCTGAACCCTGATTAAACACATCTCTTTTTGACGTTTTGAAGCGGAAGTGAAAGGTCAACAGAAAGAAGGAGAAAACCCGTACTTTTGTTCTATTCCTGCAGTCCGAAACCCTTTTCCCTATACACCCACACGTGCCGTCATATCAGAATGATATGACGGCACGTGTGGGTGTATAGGGAAAAGGGTTTCGGACTGCCACAGCGGGAAATGCCAAATTTGCTAATGTGTTACCATGGCGGTAATTCGCTAATGGTTTGCTAACTTTTTACCAAGACCTGGCGAAACGTTGTTAAAACCTTCACTTTTTTATTTTTTTCGTCAACTCTTTACCAACTTTCTACCCCCTCTTAGCGAAACCTTGACAAAATGTTCACAGAAAAAAAAAATTACCAATGACCAAAAAAGTAGCGTTGTTTGACAGCGCAAAATCTTTGCGTTTTTTTTTTTTTTGTCAACACTTCACCATCCCCAGGCGAAGCCTTGTTAAAACCTTCACTGATTTTTTTTAGCATTACCAAATACAGCAACTTTTGTGGTAAAGTGGTGTTCTTTTTTCTAAACTCTAGCAAGCTATTGCCAAAAGACTATTTTTTTCAATGTTTTTTTTTCCATATCCATGCCATTGTTTTGTTTAAGCGGAATTTATTTTTTTCTTATAAATTAGGACCACTTACAAAGTAATCTAAACAAAAAATAATAACACTTTGCTCACCAAAATGACTCCTTATGACAAACAACAACAACGCCATCGTCAGCGAGTGACGACTGCTGTCCCTTTCGCTACCCCTTCCCGGGAACAACTTCCTTCCCCCTCTACTACCCCACCCGTGCCATCTCCTGCCCCCGCTGCTACATCCCATGCTATGAATGGTCAAGACACTGGCGTGTCAGATTCCAGGTTCGTTACCAAGGAAACTTGTGCCCTCTTAATACAGGAGGCTGTAATGAAAGCCACTGCGGCAGAGAGGAACCGCACAGCCCTCAGCATCGACCAAAAAGTACAAGAAGCCATGACAGAGCGACGTTCTGCAGAAGTGGCAACGGAACAGCTCCCTGACCATAAGTTCATTCATGTAAGTCGGGAAAAAAAAAAGCGCACTTATATCAAGTAACACACGTTGCTGTTTTTTTTTTTTTAGCAATGCTTGAATGATGCACTTCGACATGCTGCGAAAGATGTAGCTTGGTCAGTTGGCTTGCCAGTCAACCAAGGCGTGAACTTGATCGTGAAAGATGAGGTTTGGAAAATGGTGAGGGCCTCTCTGAACCTGACGTCCGATATTCACAAGCCAGTGATTATGAGGATGCTGGACAGAAAAAAGAGGTACCTGAGCCGTTCAAAAGCCGCCAAGTCGCCGACCCCCAATGCTGCCAAGAACAGACGCCGAAGCAAAGTAAAAAAAAAAAACGTCAAAAAAAAAAAAAAAAATCAACCTTTCTTTGAAAATTTAATAGAAGGCCAAAAAACGTGTCGAGATCCTCAAGAAGAGAGGTGCGAAGATCGTCCGTTACTACTTTGGCAGATCTCATGAGATTACCATGGATGCTGAAGCTGCTGAAAATGCATTGATCCAGATGCAACGAGGCATGCAACCAGAAGCCATGTCCGACGAAGAAGATGGGGATGTCCTTGTCAGACCTGTCTGGCGCACCAAGGCGGTAAGTACACTCCCTCGAAAATAGTTTTTTAATTAATACCTTCATTTTCCAGTTCAATGACCTTTTGAGGCTCATTGACTCCGGGGTTATGGTGGCCGATCCAATGGCCACTATCAAAGAAGAATCCCGTGAGCCATGGCCAAGCCGTGACAATGATCCATACGCTGAGTGGATGATTGTGGACCCAGACACAACCAACCCCTTTCCCGACTTCCGCGGGCCTGAACGCTTTTCGTTTCCCCCCACTTTCGAATAAAAGGAGGAGAAGGGCGTCTTTCTCAGTCACGCCATTTTTTTTTTGTTTATTGTTTGTTTGTTTGTTGTTGTTTTTTTTTCCTCTTTTTTTTTTTTTTCTTCTCTTTTTTTTTTTTAAAGCGTCAAAACTACTCTCATTAGCCGATTGTTTGACAACAACAGTAGTCCCTAATCGCAA